GTTAAGCGTCTGCCTTTGGCTCAGGTCATGATCTCAGGGTCCTGGGATCGAGTCTCGCATGGGGCTCCTTGCTCAGCGGGGCGTCTGCTTCTCCCTCTCCCTCCTGCTCATATGCTCACTTGCTCTCTCTCTATCTCAAATAAATAAATAAAAAGCCCTTTGGTCTTTGACAACCTGAGAGATTAAATATTGTTTTATGGTCATTTTAACTTGTATTTCTCCTATTATAACTGAGGATGAGCATCTTTCTATATGTTTAAGAGCTTTTTGCATTTTTTTAAAGATTTTATTTATTTGACAGAGAGAGAGAGACACAGAGGGAGAGGGAACACAAGCAGGGGGAGAGGGAGAGGGAGAAGCAGCCTTCCCGCCGAGCAGGGAGCCCAATGTGGGGCTCGATCCCAGGACCCCGGGACCATGACCTGAGCCGAAGGCAGACGCTTAATGACTGAGCCACCCAGGCGCCCCGAGCTTTTTGCATTTTTGATATCAACTGTTCACGTATTTTGTCCATTTTGTGACTGTGTTGACTTTTTATTGTTTATTTGTAAGAGCCGGTAATATATTCAGAAAACTAGCCCCTCGCTGCCTTCTGTGTTGCCAACACTCTCAGCTAATCACCCTTTGACTCTGTAACTTCTTCTCCATGCAGCTTTATTATATGTTTTTGTTGTTAAATCTTTTCTCCTACAGCTCTTGGGTCATACTTTTAAAAAAATTTTTTAAAGATTTTATTTATTTATTTGTCAGAGTGAGAGAGCACAAGCAGGGGGAGGAGCAGAGGGAGAGGGAGAAGCAGGTTCTCCACTGAGCAGGGAGCCCGATGCGGGGCTCGATCCCAGGACCCTGAGATTATGACCTGAGCAAAAGGCAGATGCTTAACCGACTGAGCCACCCAGGGGTCCCCTGTGTCATACTTTTAGAAGGCTCCTCACTCTGAGATTATGGGAGAATCATTCCCTGTTTTCTTTTAATTCCTCTATTATTTCAGTTTTTGCACTGAACTCTCGAGTCACCTGGAACTCATTTACTTTAAGGACTGAAATAAAGATCTGATTCTAATTTTCCACATGCCCATCCATTTGCTAACACGTTATTTGCTAAATATTCTTTCCTCCATGGAATAAACTATGCTTTTATCGTATACTGAATTCCTTCATGTATTTGGGCTTTCTGTTCAGTTCTTTTGAACTATCTGTTCATATACCAGCTCCACACTATTTTAACTATTGTGGATAATCTACCCACATTATTATCTTTTTCTAGAACTTGCCTAGATATTCTCACTTCTAAGTAAACTTCGTATGAAGTTTCATATGTAGAATCAGCTTATCTACTTCCAAATATATCCTCCTTTATCTATATGTGATCGTCTCTGATTTTAAGTCTGCAGATTTTCTATCCTCTTGGACGACTTTAGTAGATTCATCTGTTGCTGGATTGCCATCCGTCTCCTCCGGCTTTTAAATTTTGTTGTCCTTGAGTTGCAAATAACTTTCCTTATAATTCTCCCATATCTATCTATAACTTGCTCATTAAATAGGTTGAACGTGGTAGAGAACAATCAAGAAATAGCTTTCTTTGTCTCCCTCCATTACAAAAGTCCGAAAATAGACTTCTTTCAGTCTCTCTTTCCCGCACCCCTTGAAAGTGTCTTGGGCGTGTGTATAGCTAAGTGGTCATTTAAGTTTTACACACCCTCTCGTTTTCAGCTGTGAAATGCCCAGTCCAGCCCAAACCCAAACCTCAGCCCCCAAGCATTCGGAGCACCCCGTGCCCCAGGTTCCCCTCGCTGGGGTCAGAGGGGCTGCGCTGGGCGAGAAGGCTGTTCCGTCCCTATTCTTCCTCTCACTTTTTCTCTTCCCGTCCCCTCACTGTGTTTCTCTTTGCTCCTCCACGGTTGACACAAAGGAGGGAGAGAAATAAAGGAGAGAGGGGCCCGTGGTCATACGTGACCAGTGCTTTTGTGGGGTCAGGGTGCTCTTCAAGGTGGGCATCCAAACACCGGCTCTTTCATGGGGTCTGCTGCTGGTGCCTCTGAGACCCCACAGGACGCGCCCCGCCCCAGCGGTCCCTCAGGAGGAGGAGGCACTCCCTGCGACGGTCGCCCCCAGCTCTGCCCAGAGCGCACCTGAGCACCCACAGCCTTTCTGCCTCGCCCCACCATGCACCCGTTCCCTGCAGGGTCATCCCTGGATGTCTCAAGCCCGAGCAGGAGCCTGTAAACCCGCGCTGGGCCTTGAGTTTTCGGAGGCTCCGCTGCCCCAGCTGATGCCCCCGCCACCATGGAAGCTCACTCCTTCCATGGAGTCCCCCAGGCTTGCAGGTTCTCGGACATCCCTGCCCCACCAGACAGCCAGGTGCAGCCTGACCCACAGATGCACGGGGCAGCTCCAGCCCCGGTTCTCTGCCTCCAGACTGTTCCTGCCAAGAAAGGCATGTTGGCTCTCAAATTTCCAAGGACACATCCAGAGTCTTCTCTTAAGCTCTCCCGTGTCCCACTTGGAGGGCAGCTCAGGGTGGGCCCAGGAGTCCCTGGGGTTCGGCCACCACCCAGCCAGGTAGTGGGATACCTCCCAAGGGAAAAAAGCCAATCCTGAAAGGTTAATACCGCATGATTCCACTTATGTCACCTTGGCAACGTGACAAGATTAGAGTGCCAAGAACAGACCCGTGGCCGCCATGGTTGGACACGTGAGGGAGTATGACTCAGTTGCTCTCGCAGAGCTGTGTCCTGACTGGGGGGCCATGGCTACTTTAATCTACACATGTGATAACTTTTCTAGAACTCTACACCAAAGGCAAACAGATCAAAGAATGCGTTTAAAACTGGTGAAACCAGGGCGCCTGGGTGGCTCAGTCGGTTAAGCGTCTGCCTTCAGCTCAGGTCGTGATCCCAGGGTCCTGGGATCGAGCCCCGCATCGGGCTCCCTGCTCGGCGGGAAGCCTGCTTCTCCCTCTCCCGCTCCCCCTGCTTGTGTTCCCTCTCTCGCTGTGTCTCTCTCTGTCAAATAAATAAAGAAAATCTTTTTAAAAAATTAAAGAATTAAAAAAAAGAGAGAGAACCCTACTGGGGTTCGAATTGGAATGGCATAAAAATTATTGGCAGAACTGACATTTTGATGAAATTGAGTCTTCCCACCCAATGGCAGGCATGATTGTCCATGTGCTTAGGTCTTGCTTTCTGTCCTTCACTCAGTGTCAAGGTTTTCTTCAAATACGTTCAATGCCTATATTTCAGTTTTTGAAACTATTGTGGGTAAAATAGATTCCCACTTTCATGTTAATCGGTTTATGTCATGGGATTGGTTTTTTCCTACATTTGTTCTTCTTTTCCTCTTCTTGAAGACCATCACCCCAATGTCGTCCCTCCATTCCGTCATCCAAAGCTCCCTTCCACCTTCCTGTTATTTACATTCATTCCCTGCTTTTCCCTTTGCATTCTACTCTTCTCTGACGTCCCTACGCCCTACCTCAGCCGTGCTTTATGTTTATGATGTTTTAAGTTTTACTTTTATAGTTTCAGTTTTCTCTGTGGTGTCTTCCTTTCTTTAAAAGTGTTATTTTTTTTTAAGATTTTATTTTTTAAGTAATCTCTACACCCAACGTAGGGCTCGAACTCACAACCCCGAGATCAAGAGTTGCCTGCTCTACCGTCTGAGCCGGGCAGACGCCCCTAGAAGGGTTAAAGAAAAAAAAAAAACCCTGCAATATCTTATTTTATTTTTCTTGAGGAAAAACCATGCAGAAAGGTTTTCCAGGAGTAAGACTTCTTTCAAATATAACTTCTACCTCTAGTTTTGTATCAGTTCCATGGTGGGTTTTGCCTCAAGCCCCTGCGAGTTGGGGTGGTTTTTTATGCAGTGATAGCTAACCAAGACACCTGAGCATCTTACCGGCTTTTCCCGACAGCTCTGGGCTCTGCCTTTTCTTATCAGCCTAAGTTTACACAGCTTTTAAGCGATGGAAAAGAATTGAACTCAAACGTATGTAAAAAGGAAATGCTCTTTTCACAGTAACATAGGACTGCCCAAGGCCTCACTTAGCTTTCTCCATTCTGCTATGCTAAGATTGTTGAAAATCAGGCAATGTGAAATACATAAGGTTTCGCAAAAGAGTATATCCTGTGAAATTCTAGAATAGGCAAAACCAATGAATAGCGAAAGAAAGCGGGTCATTCATTGGCTGCCTAGGCACAGGAAGCAGGATAGACAGCAAAGGGAGGGTAAGGAAACTTTGGGCTGATGGAAATGGCTGTGTATCTAGATTGGGTGGTACTTACCTAGGTATTTACATTTGTCAAAAGTCATCTCTACTCTTTAAATGGGTATATTTTATTGTGTAGGAATTAGGTCGCAATAAAGTTGATTTTTAAGATTAAAAAAAATGGGGGCGCCTGGTGGCTCAGTTGTTAAGCATCTTCCTTCGGCTCAGGTCATGATCCCAGGGTCTTGGGATTGAGCCCCGCACTGGGGGGCTCCCTGCTCCGCGGGAAGGCTCCTTCTCCCTCTCCCACTCCCCCTGCTTGTGTTCCCTCTCTCACTGTGTCTCTCTCTGTCAAATAAATAAAATCTTTTTTTAAAAAATGATTAAAAAAACACTTACATTGGCAAAGTTATGGAGAAAGGGAACCCTCCTGCACTGTTGGTGGGAAGCAAACTGGTATAGCCACTCTGGAAAATAGTAAGACGTTTCCTCAAAAAATTAAACACAGAACTACCATGTGATCCGGCCATGCCATTTCTGGGCATGTAGGCAAAGGGAATGAAAACAGAGTATCAAAGAGGCATCTGCCCTTCCATATCTATTGTAGCATTAATTCACAATAACCAAGACACGGAAACAACTGAAATGTCCCTCAGTGGGTGCATGGATAAAGATGTGTGTGTACACAATGCAACAGTGTCCAGCCATAAGAAAGAAGGAAATCCTACCATTTGCAACAACAGGAATGGACCTTGAGGGCATTATGCCAAGTGGATAAGCCAGAGAGAGACAGATACTGCACCATTCTCTTTATATGTGGATCGGGGGGAAGAAAAAGGTCAAATTCAGAGAAAAAGAGGGTATGATGGTGGAGGTGGGGAGTGCGGAAATCGGGAGAGGTTCACCAACTTGCACCTCTTAGTTGAATAAGGTCTGAGGATCTCACGGTGACCACAGTTGCTTACATGTTGTATAACTGGAATTTACCAAGCGAGCAGAACGTACGTGTTCTCACACACACGAGATGAATACGTGAAGTTATTAACTGGATGGGGGACCCCTTCCCAGGGTATATGTTTCTCAAATCACAATGACGCACACCTCTAACGTCTTACAATTTTGTATGTCAAGGATAGCTCGACGCAGCTGAGGTTAAAAAAGCAAACAGCAAACCCTTGAGGAACTCTAGAGTCTTTTGAATGCCAAGGAGAAAAACATTCAAAACGGTGGCAGCGCCCCGACGTCCGTGGGCTCATTCCTCTCCGCAGGGTCTCGTGAGGGGTCTCCGGGGAAGGCCCCCTCCCGCTCCCCGCCGGCGGGCGGCTGAGCGGTTCAGCGGGAAGCACCTGCCGCCGCGCTAGCTGGCCGTGCCCAGGCCGGCCTCGCACACCCAGCGGTAGGCCCTCTGGCAGGCATCGTCATTCCACTTGCCGTCGGGGTGGAAGTGGGCGCAGTCCTCGCCCCCACCCAGCCCATGCCCATGCCAGTCATCCGGCTGGCCTGGCTTCCAGTTCCTGCAGGGAGAGGACCACAGCCAGCTGGGACGCTCAGAGGGCACCCTGGGGGCCCAGGAACCAGGGGCTGAGGGCCAGAGCCCAGAGGAGCAAGAGTGCAAGGCGGGAGAAGGGCACCGACAACCAGGGCGCACTCACTTGAAGTTGGTCTCGTAGTCTGTCCCATCCACCCATTTCCAGACTCCTTCAGGGTCACTGAGGCCCATCCAGGTGTATGAGCCGATATGGCCCTGCACAAAAGTCTGGGACGACAGAAGGGCAGGGGTGACGTCTTCCGAGCCCAGCCAGCTCCTCGCACTTGACGCGTTCATGCCATCTGCCGAGGTTTGGGATGTTTATCCCAATGCCCCCCGCCCATCCGATCTCTGAAGGTTGGGGGGGCTCAGCCGCGGGGGGCTGTCAAGCTCCCCAGGTGATTCCAACCCGCAGCCAAGGCTGAGAACCGCGCCCTTAACTGCGACGCGTCGGGGGACCCGCGCACCAGCGGCGCTCACCTGCTCCTCTCCGGAGTTGATGACCACCAGGTGGGCGCTCTCCAGCTGGCAGTACCTCTCCGCGTCCTCCCAGGACTTCCCGGAGCCGGAGAACCAGTAGCAGCTGCCCTCGTACTCCAGCCACTTAGGGGGGCAGCAGGTATTTTGAGAGCCTGCGGGGCCAGGGGTGGGGGGGGTGTGAGACGCTGCGCGCTGGGACGAACAGGAAATGGGGCCCAGCACCCGCACACCCCTCACCGTTGCTCCTGAGAGCGGCCATCTGGCACGTCAGGGATCTCAGGTCTCTGGCCAACTGCTGGACCCGAAGGAGGGTATCGGAATGACCTGGGACACACGCAGATGGGCAGTGCAGCCAGTCCCCGGTAGCCCGATGTCCCTGAGGGGGGCCGGCCCCCGAAAGCTCGGTGCCCTCCCACGCACGCCCCGCCCCGGGTGCAGGGGAGCAGGGGGGGAGCGAAGGGGAGAGCACGGGGGGGGGGGGGGGGAGCGGGGGGTGCTGACCTGCTTTGAGCTCCTTCTGCTCCTGCTCCAGCTTGCTCTCCAGGGAAAACACCTTGTCCTTCAAGCTACGGGCTGCGGGGGAGGGCGCTGAGCACCCCGGGCTGCTCCCACCCCCACCTCTGCCCCGAGAGCCCTCGGCTCCCTCCACACCTTCTCCTGAAGGGTCTCTCTCTCACCTGCCTGCAACCCCTGCTTGTGATTTTCCACCTCGGCTTTCAGAGATGTTATCACTTCTTGCAAATGGCCACCTGGAGGACACGGAGACTTGGTGGGTGCCCAAGACGCAGCGCCCCCCTCCCCCCGCGGCGCCCCTGTCCGGAGCCCCTTCCGCGCCCGGCTCACCCTGGGATTTCAGTGCCTGGACCTCCGCCACAGTGTTTGCAGTGAAGTTGCTGAAAGTTGCTCTCAGGGTCACCAGGTCCCTCCGAAACTTGGAATCTGATGGGGATGGGACAAGCAGTGTGCTGGGCTGCATCACGGCCTCTGTGGGCCGGTGCTGAGCAGGGCACCTGACCACGTGCCTTTTCTCTCTGGGTCCACACGTGACCCAACCCAAAGGGACAGGCGCTATTGTTACCCAGTATCCGGGATGAGGAAACAGAGTTCCCAGAGCTTAGGCCATTTGGCTATGTTACCCAGCTGGTAAGTGGCCGAGCCGGCAGCCACCCTACGGACCACTGTCCCTCCCGGCGCCCCACGCGTTCAGAGACCCTCACTCTGGGAGCCGATCACACCGATGCCGACCAGCAGGAGGAGGCTGAGGCCCAGGGAGAACAGGAGAGGCCGGGGGCCAGAGCAGAGCCGGTACAGGAAGCACAGAGGAGGACGCAGCCCTGGGAGAGAAGAGGGGGTCAGGGCAGGGGACTGGGGGGAGGAGAGCCCCTGGGACCTGTCGGGGAGGAGGGCTGGCGCAGGTGTTGTTGGTGGGAGGCCGCACCCGGATGCTGGGGGGCAGGGGACGCCCAGGCCTCTGGCCCCTCCTGGACCAGCACAAGTCCTCAGTCACACGGCCCCTCACACCTGTGGGGACACACGTACACAAAGACCCACGGAGGGGGGATGATGGTGATGCGCAAGGTCCCATCCACAGTGGGGGGAGCGGGCAGAAGGACCCAGACCGAGCTGGGGCAGCCAAGCCCTCCAAGGCTCCCACTCACCAGCACGGTCAGGGTCACGCGTGAGGTTTCCTTCCAAACCCAGGTGCTCCTCCCCCAGAGAATAGGGACCCTTGTGGCCCTCCCGGTCCTTGTTTCCGTCTTTCTCAGGACCTTGAATCCTCTTCAGGGTCTGGGGCCGGACCCCCTCAGAATGGGGGACCCCCCCACTACACACAGTAAGGGGGCAGATATGACATCCCAGCAGGAATCTTCTGCACAACCAGGAGGGGATCTAAGGAGGGAACGTTTTCCCTTCCACTTACCATTTCTAGACTGCTGGCTTTGCTTCTCACTCTCCAAGTGCTGGAATTTTTCATACTGCACTGACATGCTTGGACCGAGCCTGGGGCCGTCGGAGCTGAAAGGCGGGCAGGGCCGGCTGCCAGGCGGAGGCAGGAGCTGGGCCCAAGGGGGAGGCTGGGACTCCTTGGAGCCGACGTCTGGACCGGAGTCAAAGGAAGAGATGAGGCTCGAGTTGAGGATGAGCCCAGGGTGGAGAGAGGCTTGGGGATGGTTCTGAGTGTACAGGTGAGGTTGGAAGTGGGGTCAGGACCGGTGTTGGGGGGGGGGCAGGTCGAGCTGGGGATTGAAGGTGGAGGTAAAGTGGGAGCTAAGCGTACTGCTAGGACTGGGTCCTGGCCCCGAGGGGCATCTCCTGCTGGGGTGGGGTTGGGACTCCTATCTGAGCCATGGATGGGGTTGGGCTCAGCCTGGCGCCAAAGCTGGAAACGAAGTCCAGGGTCAACTTTGGGCTGGGGCTGGAGTGGAGATTCAAGTTGACTCCGAGGTCAGAGCTGTGGTTGGGACTTAAGGGGGAACTGGGTGAGTATTAGGGTCAAGACTGCAGCCAGGGTGGGGGCTGGAAGAGGGCTGAGTCTGCAACCTCAGTTTGTGAGTGAGGTTTGGCCGCCATACTTCAAGCCCAATCCAGTGAAGGCAATGGAGGCTGAAATCTGCACTTGGCCATTCAGTCCCCGAGCTGCCCCTCACATTTCCTCCCATTCACTCCCACCTGAGACCCACGGTCCCCACTCTGGGCTCTTCCTGACATCCTCCCTGTCCCCTTGGTCTCCCCTAAGCACCCAGCCCCGTTACCTGCGGAATGTCCGAAGGCTGCGATTTTGGGGTTCCTTGTGCAGCAATGACCAGAACTGGAAAAACACGAAATACTGGAGAACGGAGGTGGAGGCAGCGGGGGAGGAGTCACCTAAGTGACCAGAACCCAGCAGGCTGTCAGCTGGGATCTGATGTGTCCCCGGTCTTCAGGCGGTGAAGTGCAGAAGGGATTGGAGCAGGGACTCAGGCAGAGATTGCGCGCGGCGGGGGGTGGGTACGAGGCAGCTCTGCTCTCCTCCTCCGGGGTGTATCTACTCCCCTTCCGCTCCTCTGGAGCCCCCCTGACTTCCTCATTTTTACCATTCGGGAGAAAGGAGCCAGGCCAGAAGGGACCAGAGATGCGATCTGCCTATCGCCTCTGCCCACACCCCCTTTCACTTCCTGCATCTGAAATTCCCAGAACTGTGTCCCCAGCACTGCACAGTTGGGTCCAGAGGAGCCCATTTCTCTGCTCTTGCTCGATCCCACCGAGTCCTGGCTCATGAGCTTCCCCGGGGGGACCTTGGCCACCATGCTCAGAGCAGGAGAGAAGAGGAGAGGGCACAGTAGAGTTTCCTGGCCGGGAAAGGAAGGGGGGAGCCAGGAGAGGAAAAACTGACTGATCAAAAATCAAACCTGTAACAGGGATGGGGCCAGACCCGTGCCAGGCATTAACTGTTCGGTTCCCACGAGAAGCCTGGGAGGCACTTTGGATGGTGGGCTGAGGCTCGGAGCTGGGGTGTGGGCTGCCCCAGTTCTCGGGCCTGCTGAGCACAAGGGCCAGAATTCAGGCCCAGCACCCCCTGACACCCTGGCCTGGGAGCTCTGTACGAGAACCTTCTGCAAGAAAAGGAATCCACCAACTCCCATAACCTGCAAATCTCATTTAGGGGGCTGCCCGGAATTCACACATACAATCTTCTTCACAGGAAGGAACTTTAGTGTCTCCAAAGGTAGAGAAGGAAAGCAAATGCATCTTAGATTATATTTTCTATATAAATGGGATTATGTTCTATTTGCCTTTTTTTTTAAAGATTTTATTTATTTATTTGAGAGAGAAAGAGCAGGGGGGAGGGGCAGAGGGAGAGGAAGAAGCATGCTCCCTGCTGAGCAGGGAGCCCAATGCAGGACTCGATCCCAGGACCCGGAGATCACGATCTGAGCCAAAGTCACATGCTTCACCGACTGAGCCACCCAGGCGCCCCCTACTTGCTTCTTATTATTTGTTTTCGGATCAGTATTTGTCCCAGGTTGGGTTTTTGGAAGCCAACGCTGAGACTGAAGTTGGAGGTGCAAGCTATGTTTTAGGGACCGACACCTGAGAGAGGAAGGGGAAGAAGGAGGAGGGGGCAACCAGAGAAAGCACAGAGCTCTGCAGGCCCCACAAAGCTGCAGCCAACTCACCAGGCGCTCTGGGCAGTCAAGCGCTGTCTGTCTGAGCTGTCGGCACCAGGCTGAGCTGGGGCCTCCATAACCCCACCTCGCTCAGGCACCTGGGGCCGGCCACCCCCGCAGGGCCGTGACCTCGGGGGAAGTGGCTGTCTGCACAGGTCACACTCCCCACAATTGGGCCCCAAGTCCTTCCCAGAAGGAGGTAGAGGCGGGGGATGGGGAGATCTAGGGAGCTCATGTCTGTGTCCGCAACAGTGTTACATTGTACTCAGGTGGTAATCGGGACATACTTGCCATTTGTGCATTGTTGGATCTTTCCCACAGAGAACATTCACTCTGCTCACACATACGTGCATTTACTCATCCATTCAGAAGGTACTTCCCGAGTGTCTACAATATGCCAGGCGCTCTCCTTCGGAAGACGCATACTTCAAAAGCAAACAAACTGACAAAAAAAGGCCAGACCCTCACAGAATTTACATCTTGGCAGGTGACAGATTAAATAAATGAGTGAAATCTATATAATGTCACCTGGTGACACTGGCAGTGTCACATGGTGACATATGGAAGAAAATATAGCCGGGAAGTGAGATAGGGTCAGTTTTTAACAAGGCCATCAAGAGTAGGGTGTCAGGATTGGCCTTACTGGGAAAGTAACATCGGAGCAAAAGTCCCAAGGAGGTGAGGGAGCGAGTCATGAGGAGCTCCAGGAGCAAGAGGGTTCCAGACGAAGGCACAGCAAGTGCAAAGGCCCTGGGGTGGAAGAATGTCTAGTGTGTACAAAGATCATCCATTTGCCAGAGATGCCAGAGATTTTACGGAGAAGTGAGCTAGAGAGGCGAGGAGTAGATGAGTCACAGAGGGAAAACGTAGAGCACCAATTCTTTAGGGCCCTCAGACAATAGTTAAGGATTTGTTTTTACTCCGAGTTAGAGGAGCAGACTGTGGAGGGGTTGGGGCAGAGGAGGGAATGAAAGAGAGGAGGGTGGAAACTGAGAGTCCTGATGAGGAGCTATGATGATATCCGGGTGACAGATATGCCCGGACACAGACACACACACACACAGTGGTTCTCCTTCCAGTCCCCAAAATAAAGTAAACTTAGAGCATTTCCCGTAAATTGCTGACTCCTTAGGAAAAAAACAGCTTTATCCCTGAATTTTGCAATGCTAATGCCTAAAGATAAGTCACGACCTTTTGTGCCTGTGATAATCGTGCTGTTTTGCCATCAGGAGCAGACCGATAAAAAACTGTTCACAGCGATCACAGTGCAGAGCTTTCCTCCAAACACCTCCTGTGGTTTTGTTCCGTAAGCCTGTCCTCCCAAAGGCTGACGGCCTCGCGGCTACTTTGCAAGCAACCTTCTCTGCTCTCTTAAATGCTTTTGCCTCTGAGACTTCTTTCACGGTGGACGATCTCAGTCCTCGGTGGTCCTATCTTCACCGGGTCACCGCGATTTGCCGACCCTTACGGTCTCACTGTCCTCTCCCCTCCCCATTGCAAAGCAGCCCATTTCCCTTCTGAATCAGCATCAATCAATCATCTCCAAAACACAGTTACCTCTACCCCCTACCTAGTGGTGATTCTGAGGAGCCCAAATCAGGCTGGAGTCAAATGGTATCTTCAAATTTCAACAGGACCAAGGCTGCTTACCCTTGGGGTGGTGGGGGGGGCAGTCCTTTCCTTGGGCACTAGGACTTCCAAAGTCCAATGATCCCATTGTGCCGACGAAGAGCAAACGCTCCTCCCGTGGATTGTCGGGCATCGGTGAGAGGAGACGCCACCCTCCCCTGTCCCTTGGTTGGGAGGTGGCTGTGGGGAAGATGGCATCTTGCTGGCCGCGGATTGGAGGTGACTCCCCCACGGGCGGCTCAGGCTTGAGAGGTCGGGGAGAGGTAGTAAACTAATAAATTTACCCCATTTCCAGCCCCCAAGCCCAGAGACAGCCATCTGATGAGTGGTCTTTTCAGACATATTTCTGCATGTATTTGTACACCTGTCAACATATATACGTTGATGGGGTGGGCTGGTGTTTTCTTTTACACAGATTTTTCTCCATAATATGTGTCTGCCTAAAAATGGGTCTTGAGGTTTTCCCACGCCACTGCCCACGGCCGTCTGATTAAAGGTGCTCCAGAGCATACACGTGCCAGACCTTATCTAATGACCCCCTTGGCGATGCATTTTTGAGATGCAGCATCTTTGGCTTTTATAAATAATGCTGAAGTGAACAGGCTCATATATGCCTGTTTGTGCTAAGAAGCAAATATTTGCTCTTGCTTACATATCTAGAAGTAAAATGAGTGGAAATACCGATCTTAACATTTAAAAGTGTATGGACACTGCCAAGGAGCCCTAAAAAGACATCATCAATTCATCTCCCCACCGTGTATGGGGATATTCATTTATCCACACCTTTGCAGACAAAACTGTACATTTTTGCCAATATGATGTTCAAGAAATATCTTCTGTCTCATTTCAGTTAGCACCTACCTGATGACTGGTTTGGTAGAAACAAAGCTTTGCATTATATTTTAGTTTTAGAAACTGTCAGAGATACTTTAATTAAAGTTTATTATGAGCAACCACAACTGGGAGACAATTGTGTAACAGCTATTCTAAAACAGGTCACATGGGGGGGGGGCGCCCGGGTGGCTCAGTCGGTGAAGGGTCTGTCTTCGGCTCAGGTCATAATCCCAGAGTTCTGGGATCGAGCCCCTCATCGGGCTCCCTGCTCAGCGGAGAGCCTGCTTCTCCTCTGCCGCTGCCCCTCCCCCTGCTCGTGCTCTCTCTCCCTCTCTCAAATAAAAAAAATCTTAAAGAAAAACAAAACAATAAGTACACTTCAAGAAAATGACTATTTCCCACCTTGGCGATGCGTTATGACTTCCCACCATTATCGAAATATTTCTCACAAACCTTGATGTCCATACAAACAAAAAGATTGACACTTCCTACAGGAAAAGACAGACCTCTGACTACGATGATTTGGCAAGAAAATCCTTCTTTCTTTCTATTAAATGGCTAAAAAGCCATAGAAAAGAAATCCGTCATAATAGAATGCAAAGCACGGTTGAATTTAATCTCACATGGAGACACTTGCCCTAACTTTTGTGTTCCCAAATCATTGTTTAGCTCCGTAAGTTGTGAACACCCAGGTTCTCAGAAAAAAGCACTGATAACATAGCATCGCTGTTCTAGGTCCAAAGTGATGGGCTTTTTTTTTTTTTTTTTTTTTAGCGTGGACTTTATATTTTAAAACAGTTTTAGGTTCACAGCAAAACTGAGCTGAAGCGACAGAGTGTCTCCACATCCCCACGGAGGGTGTGATGGACTTTCTACTTCACCTTTGCTTCAGGTGGATTCTCTTAATAAAGGAAGGCTTCTGTTTCTGGCTTCACATTCTCCTTTTCTCAAAGACGGGAGCTTGCATGATTCTGTTTCCATCCAAGAGGTGAGTTTCTCTTCAAAGAATAGTGCTTTGTCAGTTTCCCTTCTGTTTCCATAAGCTTTCCCATTTGGATGGACTCCTTTAAGTACACAATTACCCATCACTTATTTCCCTGTGTTTCACCTCTTCTACTGGGTGATACCCACTCCACCCCTCTTCATGCTTTTTAGCTGAAAGTCTCTTTTGTCACGTTTCACCTGCTCTATTTTTATTAGCGTTTAGCTAGAATATATTTCCCTGTCTTGATTTGACATGTTTGTGTTGCTTTGTTTTACACATAAGACCATGAAAAAAAGTAAAATAAATATAAATATATGACCATGGCTTATAAACAGCATGTCACGGGATTTCTTTAACCCAATCTAAGAGTTTCCATCATTTGTTGAAATTAAACCTAATCGCATTTGTTATGATGACTGATATATTTGGATTTAATCCTGCCATATAATTTCACATTTTCAATCTACCATATTTTCTTTTTTTTAAAGATTTTATTTATTTATTTGACAGAGAGAGAG